GTTTACTGTGATGCTTCTCGTATTGGGCTTGGTGCAGTGTTGATGCAGGATGGCAAGGTCATTGCCTATGCTTATCGGCAGTTGAAGATACATGAGAAGAACTATCTGGTTCATGATTTGGAGTTGGTAGCCATAGTTCACGCGTTGAAGATCTGGAGGCATTATCTGTATGGCGTGGCATGTGAGATGTTCACGGATCACAAGAGTCTTCAGTATTTGTTCAAGCAAAAGGAGTTGAATTTGAGGCAGAAGAGGTGGTTGGAGTTGTTGAAAGATTATGATATCACCATCTTATATCATCCGGGGAAGGCCAATGTGGTGGTCGATGCCCTGAGTAGGAAGTCAGCCAGCATGGGCAGTTTAGCTTATATTCCGATCGATGAGAGACCGCTTGCTTTGGATGTTCAGGCTTTGGCCAATCAGTTCGTGAGGTTGGATGTTTCTGAGCCCAGCCGTGTGTTTGCTTGCACAGTCGCTCGTTCTTCATTATTGAAGCGTATCCGAGATCAGCAGTTTGATGATCCCCATTTGTGTGTCCTTAGAGACACGGTGCAGCACGGAGGTGCCAAGCAGGTTACCATAGGTGATGATGGAGTTTTGAGATTGCAGGGTCGAGTCTGTGTGCCCAATGTGGATGGTCTTCGAGAGTTGATTTTATAAGAGGCTCACAGCTCCTGGTACTCTATTCATCCGGGTGCCGCGAAGATGTACCAGGATTTGCGGCAGCATTATTGGTGGCGGAGAATGAACAAGGATATCGTTGCATATGTGGCTCGGTATTTGAATTGTCAGCAGGTCAAGTACGAGCATCAGAGGCCCGGTGATCCATTTCAGAGGATTGAGCTTCCCGAGTGGAAGTGGGAGCGGATCACTATGGACTTCGTTACTGGACTCCCGCAGACTCGGAAGAAATTCGATGCAGTGTGAGTCATTGTTGATAGGCTGAGCAAGTCAGCACATTTCATTCCTGTGCGAGTCTTCTATTCTTCTGAGAGGTTAGCTGAGATCTATATCCGGGAGATCGTTCGTCTTCATGGTGTGCCTGTGTCTATCATTTCGGACCGAGGTACGTAGTTTACCTCGCGTTTCTGGAGAGCAGTTCAGCGAGAGTTGGGCACACGGGTTGAGTTGAGCACAGCATTTCATCCCCAGATGGACGGGCAGTCCGAGCGGACTATTCAGATTTTGGAGGATATGCTCCGAGCTTGTGTCATTGACTTTGGAGGCTCGTGGGATCAGTTTTTGCCTTTAGCAGAGTTCGCCTACAACAACAGCTACCAGTCGAGCATCCAGATGGCTCCTTATGAGGCCTTATATGGTAGGCGGTGTCGGTCTCCGATTGGATGGTTTGAGCCGGGGGAGGCTCGATTGTTGGGTATGGATCTGGTTCAGGATGCCTTGGACAAGGTCAGGATCATTTAGGATAGGCTTCGTTCAGCTTAGTCCAGGAAAAAGAGTTATGCCGACCGCAAGGTTCGAGATTTGGCTTTCATGGTTGGTGAGTGGGTATTTCTTCGAGTGTCGCCTATGAAGGGCGTGATGAGATTTGGAAAGAAGGGCAAGCTTAGCCCTAGGCTCATTGGTCCATTTGAGATTCTTGATCGAGTGGGAGAGGTGGATTATAGACTTGCATTGCCGCCGAACTTATCAGCCGTGCATCCAGTGTTTCATGTGTCCATGCTCCAGAAATATCACGGCGATCCATCCCACGTGTTAGATTTCAGCACTGTCCAGTTGGACAAGGAATTGTCTTACGAGGAGGAGCCGGTGGCTATTCTACACCGGCAAGTTCGTCAGTTGAGGTCAAAGAGTTTTCCTTCTGTTCGTGATCGACCTGGGAGTCCGAGTCCGATATGCGGAGCCGTTATCCCCATCTTTTTCCCGACTCAGGTACTTCCTTCTTATGTCCGTTCGAGGACGAACAGTTGCTTTAGAGGTGGAGGATGTGATGACCCAAAAGGTCATCACTTGTTTTAAATTAAATTCTATGTTTCCGAGGCCTTGAAAACCTCATCTAGCATCACCTCCATTTGCGTGCGCAGTCCGGACGCGTAGCCGGAAAGCCTAAATGTGAAAATCTGTGAAAAATGATAAGTTTTGACTATAAAATGAATAAATTTGACTTCGGTCAACGTTTGGGTAAACGGACCCGGACCCGTGATTTGACGGTCCCGGAGGGTCCGTAGGAAAATATGGGACCTGGGCGTATGCCCAGAATCAAATTCCGAGGTCCCAAGCCCGAGAAATGAATTTTTGAAGGAAATTATTTTTTGAAATTGTTTAAGGAAATTTGAAATGAAAATTGATTAGAACATGTTAGTATCAGGCCCGTATTTTGGTCCCGGCACCCGGTACAGGTCTTATATATGATTTATGATGTTTCTGTGAAATTTGGTGAAAAACAGACGTCGTATGACGTGATTCGGACCTAAATTGCTAAAGTTGATGCTTTATGAAGTTTGAGAAAAATCCTTTGATTTTGAGGTTTAATTCGTTGTTATTGAGGTTATTTTGGCGATTTGATCGCACGGATAAGTTTGTATGATGTTGTTGAGTTAGTACGTATGTTTGGTTAGGAGCCCCGAGGGCTCGGGTGTGTTTCGGATGTGATTCGAGAAGTTTTGAACTTAAGGAAAAATTGCAGATTTTCTGCTACAGGTGCTCAGGCCTGTTGTTCATCGCGATCGCGTAGTCACTCTCGCGATCCCGTATGGTAAATGGGAATAGGGGTGGATTTGTCCATCGCGAACGCGAAGCCACAGTCGCGAACGCGGAGCTTTGGGGGATTGCTCATCGCGAACGCGACCTGTGTGACGTGTTAATTGGAGGGGGCTGGGATTTTGGTCGTTCTTCTACGCGAACGCATATGTGTGTCCGCGAACGCGAAGGTCAGGGGGTTCAACCCTTCGTGAACGCGTGGAAGAACTCGCGACCGCGTAAGTCCACTTACTGGCAGCCTTCGCGATCGCGACAGTGTTCTCGCGAACGCGATGAACACTGTCGCCCAGCACTTAAAACAGTAGCTAAAACGGGATTTGTTCAAAATTTCATAACTTCTTCATCTCAACTCCAAATTGGGCGATTCTTGAAAGAGGATTTCACCATAAATTCATAGGTATGTAATATTAGACTCATTTTCTTCAATTTCCATTAACACCCATTAGATTTCTAGGCCTAAAACATGAGATTAAGGGTAGAAAATTAGGGATTTGGGTAGAGTTAGGGCTTTTTGATTAATTGTAATTTAGACCTTGTTTTGGGGTCGAATTCTGGAAATAATTATATATTTGGGCTCGTGGGTGAATGGGTGATTAGATTTTGGTCCGAACCTCGTGTTTTGACCAAGCGGGCCCGGGGTCGATTTTTGGATTTTTGGGAAGAATGGTTAGATAGCTATAATTAAGCATTGGAATTGGATTGTTTAGCATTTACTGATGTTATTGAATCGATTATGCATAGATACGATTGTGTTGGAGCCACATTCGAAAGGAAAGGCGGTGTTTGAGGCTTGAGTTGGCCGTGGAAGTTTGAGGTAAGTGTTCGGTCTAACCTTAGCTTGAGGGATTAGGAGTTGAGTCCTATTTGCTATTTGCTTCTTGTTGAGTACGACGTATAGGCATGGTGACGAGTATCTATAAGTTGGTGTCGAACATGACCGTGAGTCCTAAATTGATACTTGTGGTATTCTTAAATGATTCTACGAATGCTTTAGTGGGTGAATTCTTGACAATGAGTAAAGACTTGGTTTATTTTCGTGGTAGTTACTTAAAATTGAGAAATGGTGATAACTGAGATGAGTAGGAGTTGAGTTGAAATTGGTTATAGCTGATTCTCCCTTGACGGGACGTATATACTTGTACTGTTGAATTCCCTTGCCGGGATAGTGTAGTCTATTGTTGATCCCTTTCCGGGACTGTTATTATGAACATTGTTGATATTATATATATGGATCGGGTTGCGCGCCGCAACATCATTATATATATGTGGATCGGGTTGCACGCCGCAACAGATATTATATGGGATCGGGTTGCACGCCGCAACAGATATTATATTGGATCGGGTTGCACACCGCAACAATGTTAAATGATAAGGGATCGGGTTGCGCGCCGCAACAGTAGTATTATTGCTTTGTTGAAGATATTGAACTGTCTCTCCATATTTTATTAAATTACTGTTGGATTTGATATGTTTCCCCGAAGCATCTACCCCCTCCCATTTAAACTGTTTATTCATGTTTATCTTCTGCCATATATTATATAACTGCACAGGTTTATCTGGAGTCTGGTCCTAGCCTCGTCACTACCTCGTCGGGGTTAGGCCAGACACTTACCAGCACATGGGGTCGGTTGTGCTAATACTACACTCTGCACTCTGTGCAGATACCGAGGCAGCACTGGGACAGCAGCAGTAGTTCGGGAGCCAGCCTTCAGTCCACCGAGACACCGAGGTAGCCCTGCAGGCGTCCGCAGGCCCGGCGTCTCCTCTATCTTTTATTATGTTCTGTTATCTATTGTATTCGAAACAGACAGTATTACTTTCTTTCAAACCGTTGTATGTAGCAATCTTAGTAGTCCGTGAATAATGTGACACCAGTTTCTGGGTAGAGGCATATGTGGATTTTTTTATCATTTTGGTTCATTTTGTCTAAGTCTTCCGCTTAAATCTCATATTCCGCTGTTATTTAAATGCTTATCACTTGTTAATGTATGTTGCAAAAAGCAATTAAATAAAAGAGTTAAGAATTTATAATTTTGTGGCTTGCCTAGCTTCTACGAGTAGGCGCCATCACGACTCCCGAGGGTAGGAAATCCGGGTCATGACAAAAGGAAACTTCCCTGAATATCTAGTCGAGGTCTGAGTCGAAGTCGGGCTCCATTCCCCGCCCCCGTACTAATGCACACATCCATGCGGACAACTTCTTCTTGGCCTTCTTTAGGTACACCGCACACTTTTCTTTCTCGCTCGCCACATCCTTCTCTTTCGAGACCTTTACTTTCCACTCAACACTCGCAGCTGGTTTGTCCTTTTTGTGCCCCATTTTCTACATCTATCTTGAAAGTCACAGTCTCCTCACCCACTCTAAGCATGAGTTTTCTCTCGTGTATATCCAATATAGCTCTACCCATCTCTAAGAATGGTCTTCCTAGGATGAGGGGGACCTCCTTGTTTTCCTCCATGTTTACCACTATAAAATCCACAGGAAGTACGAACTTATCCACCCGAACTAATACATCTTCCACTTTTCCCTCGAGTATTATAGTCGTTTCATCCGCCAGCTGCAAAGATATGGGTGCAGACCTTATCTCTCCATTCTCCTTCTCCAGTTTCCTATAGATAGATAGAGGCATTAAATTAATTGAGGCACCAGAATCACATAAGGATTTATCAAAATTAATAGTTCCTACAGAGCAAGGTATAGTAAAACTCCCTGGATCTCCACACTTTTGTGGGAGTTTATTTTGCAATATCGCGCTGCAATCCTCTGTGAGCTTGACCACTGAGATCTCCTCTATTTTCCTCTTTTTAGTAAGGATCTCTTTCAAGAATTTAGCATAAGCAAGCATCTGTGAGAGCACTTCTGTGAATGGTAAGTTTACATAAACCTGTTTCAGCACATCCAGAAATCTCCCAAATTGCATGTCCAGCTTATCTCTGCTTTGCTTTTGAGGGAAAGGTAGAGAATGCATATGTTTGCTCTCCTTAGGGTCCTCCCTTATTGAGTTTTCTTCCTTCTTCTTCTTCTCAGCTTTCATATGTCCTTTCTTCTTCTTATCAACATCACTCTTCAGCTACTCCCCACTTTCTTTTTCAAGTCTCACATCATTTTGGTTGGGGTAATATCTTTCAACACTTGCCCACTTCTCAAAGTTATAGCATTCACTGTTTCGTTGGGATTTCTTTTCGTATCAACAAGGAGAGTTCTTGGAATCCTCTCAGACAATAGAGTTTCTAGCTACCCAACTGTCTTTCCAGTTTTTGAAAACCCGTGCCCTGTTCTTTGATAGCTGCTCCATGTTCCCGTATAGCTACGCTATGAGTTTCAAGCCTCTCATTAGTTTTCATAATGAAGGCCTTCATGAGATTTTCTATGCCAGACTGAATGGGCTATTGAGGCTGAAACTGATGCCTCGGATGATTCATAAAACCAGGAGCTCTTTGTTCCTGGGGTCTAGGGTTGTTTTATTGCCATGCATTCGCAGTACCCCCAGATGAACTCCATGAAAAACCGGGGCGCCTCTGCCCCTTTGTATTAAAATTATAGTTTCCCACAACATTCACTTCCTTAGTTGAGGCTTGACACTCATGAGTAGGGTGTATTTTTCCACATATATCACAAGCTTATCTTGGTTGCGTTCAGCTTTTGTATTTCTTTAACCATAGCATCAAGTTGTACCTGCATATATGTATTAGCATCAACTTGGTGAACACCAGTGGATTTTCTTCTTTCAGCACTCCCAGAGGGCCACTGATTAGCATCTTCAAATAACTCATCAAGAATTGTAACTATCTCCTCTGGAGTCTTCTTCATCAAAGGGCCTCCAACTGCATTGCTCAATGTTCTACGCGAGGCCGGTGTCAATCCTTCCCAAAAGTCTTGGAGTTGCATCCAGAGTTCAATTCCGCTATGTTGACACTTTTTAACTATCTTCTTGAACCTCTCCCGTGCTTCAAAAACAATTTCAATCTCTTTCTGGTAAAAGTTATGGATTTCTCTTCTAATCTTGCCCGTCTTAGCTGGGGAGAAATATTTATCAAGGAATTTTCCGGTCATCTCCTCCCAGGTTCTATTCGATCCACTGGGCAAGCTTCGAAGCCACTTATTCGCATCATCTTTAAGTGAAAAGTGGAATGCCCTTAAGTACACTGCATCTTGTGACACCCCATTGTATTGAAAGGTGTTCATAATCTCCTCGAAGTCCATTAGATGTGTGTTTGGATTTTTGTTCATCTTCCCTCTAAAGACACAACAATTCTGAAGGATTTGAAGCAACCCTTGCTTCAACTCGGAATTATTTGCTGCAATTGGAGGTGGTCTAACACTTTATAATCCTTGATTATATACCAGTCTCGCATAATCACCAAGTGGTCTCCCAGGCCTGGAAGCTATATTTTCGAACTGGTCTGCAGCCAAGGGCTAATGTTGATTAATTCTGTGACCCCTGTCTTCGTCATAGATATTCTGTGAATCTCTAACAGCTGCTTCCTCAACATCCCGTGCAGGTTTTTTTCATTGTTGGGCTGCCTCTCTTGCAGCCAAATCTACATTATCATCACCGTTTCCGGCCATATTTTCTTGGGCTGCGAATTGCCCAACCTTTCCTAGCTTCTCGGTGAGATCTCTTTCCTTCGTTGTCGCAGTTTGTTTCTAACTTTGGCTCGTATGGTGGCACTTCTTTCGTAGAATCTCGAGTCATCCACCAATCTTAACCTATAACCTGCGCACGGCCAAAGAACACCAACTGTAAAAAGGGAAACATAAAATAAAAATTAAAGAATTCCTGAAATAGCACTACAAACTATTTCAAACAGTATTGATTGCCAATCCCCGGCAACGACGCCAAAATTTGAAGAATGCAAAACACACACTTAAATTATTCTCGTTAATCAAATATAGTATAATATAATGTATCCACATGGATTAGATTTAAAAAGTATTCTTATAGTTTCTAGCTTGACTGCTATCCAGGAGGATCAACAATTGAGATTTATATGATTAATTACTAAAATTAACTAAGAATCTAAAGCTATTGACTAGTGACTACTGAGACAAGGAATGAGGTTATTAGTGGGAAAAGATAGGGTTTTGATAGGATAGGTGCAAGATAATTGTTCGGGATCTAACTCTAGACAATTCACTTCTAATGTTCAAGTGAGTCTCTCGAATTCACTCAATTATTAGTTCAAACGTTCAGCAAAAACTCCTCTCTCGATTAAGTCTTAATATCGCGAGATGAACCGATTTAAACACGTGAAGATATGCAAGAATGCGTAGTGGATTGTTCTTTAGGAAAACCTCTTTCGATTATTCTCCTAACTAGGTTTAATCAATGATTCAACTATCCTCTTTCGATTACTTCGAAGAATCTATGAACTCAACCAACAATATAATGCAAAGATATCACAAGTTATGCCTTTCTCGAATACCTGAACTGGTGAATATAGATGCAATATTAAATCATCCAAAACAATTCAATACATAAAACTAGAGTTACTAATCCACAAACAATCATCGATACACCAAATGCATCAAACCCTAAACTACTGCATTGATATGGAGCAATTCATCACAAATTAATTAAAGTGTAGGAAAGCATAAATTCGATCAAAACTCAGGTCTTGAGTGAGGAAGGAATGATGAAATCCTTGTGCTTGTGTTCTTCCAACTCCTCCTTAGCGTCCTTAGGTCCAAAGTATGTAAAAAATCCCGAAATAACGTTTTTCCATGTATTTATACCAAGTAGGTTCGGGCCTAGACGAAATCACCCTTTCCTAGCCGAAATAGGAAAATCACTCTGTACAAAAATACACAGGCGCACCGCATGGGGCAACGTGCCATGCCAGGCGCTAGTGGGGAATTTCAGGGAGCTCACACTTTTCATCAGGCAACCATAACACACTGCTGCGGCACCCCACGCGCTGCAACATTGAATTTCCTTAGCGTTATGCTTTTTTCTTGATTTTTGATGTCCAGACGTGATCCTCGACCCCCGAACACGATCGCGGCTTAATACCTTGGGATTTTACTCAGACTTCAAATCTCCAAATAGATCGAATTAGTTCCATAACATCAAAATAGCTTGGAATCATTCCAACAAGACATAAAACACATAATAAGTGCAAAACACTACCAATTAAAGCTCAACACAAGTAAAGTGTGGTGAATTAGAGCGCAATAAGCGACTAAAATACATAATTATAGCCTACCATCATATATCATCATGTTCGTCAAACCTTCAAGTTAGTTGGTCTTTCAAATATGCTCTCTGTGCTAAAAAGGGGAAAGGAAGAGAGGCATCAAAAAAGGGAACACAAGTATAAGAAGGAAGATTACCTATTATGGTGTTTCGAATCCAGTAAGACTTGAACCCATGATATTTGATGAGAATGAAGCTCTGGAATTCCGATTTCTAGAAAACAAAGCGTCGCGTTATATCGAGGCTTCCATACCAAGACATAAAAGTTTCGGTGAAGGCACGCTAATTTGGAACTGTCGGTATATTAGAATCTAAAGTTGACTTTGAAATATTATCTGAAACTATCCTTAAAGCATTAAATTTTACATTTTGGATATTTTTTGAATTTTGAAGTTTAGTTTCCATGAAATCAAACAGTTCGTGATTTTGACGTTCCAACATCAAGATACAAAAGTTTTGGTGAAGTAACGCAAATCGAAACTCGTCGGCGTGTCAGAATTTTATGTTGATTTCGAAATATTATCTCAAAAAATCCATAAGGCGTTAAATTTTATATTTTGGATATGTTTTAGATTTGGAAGTTTAGTTTTCAAGAAATTAGACGGTTCGTGATTCGACGTTTCTACACCAATGTATGATTTTTTTGTGGGACTGTGCAAGTATGAAATTTTCAAGTATTAAACAGTTCGTGATTCGACGTTTCTGGGGCGATTCTGAAGGTGTTTGATTACGGATTTTGGATATGTCTTAGATTTTAAAGTTTGATTTTGAGAAATCAAATGGCTCATATTTTTGACATTCTCACATTGAGATATATATTTCCTACCACAAATGTGCAAAGGTGATGAACAATATTATCTTCAAAGAAAAAGGAGGATGTATCTTCAAATCAAAGAACTTCGAGACATGAACGACAAAGATGTTTAAAACAAAGCCAAGTCTATTATGTGGACGTCGATACATCATGCTAAGCAAGGAACTATTGATATTGAACCTCAAAGAAAAAAAAGAGACATCCATAAATGTCGCGCCCACGTTTTTCCCTTCGCGGGGAAGTCCGGGTTTCGACATTTTTGGGACAACTCATTTCCTTTTGGGAAGGGGTATGGGATTTTAAGAGTCGCCACCTAACGGATTTAAGGTGCGTTAGGGCACCTAAAGCAAATAACTCATAAACCGGTTTGCATTACCAGAGATTAGGGTAAGGGCTCGAAATAACCTTATTGGGAAGGTGTTAGGCACCCCTTGAGGTCCACAACGGTGGGTCCCGGCCAAACTTACTTTGTGGATTAGTCAATTAGCAAATAAGCAGTCTAAGCACACATATGTAAAAGAAATGAAGACTTTTAACAGATAAGCACTCTAAGCACACATGTGTAAAAGGGATAAGGGAGGTCCTAAGTTGTTTATCCTATAGGATCATATCCGTGCAATGCCCGGTAATCACTCCTCGGTGAGAGGGGTTACACGTTGCATTAGCGCACAGGTCATCATATCCTCTTATTACCCATTATCCCACCCCTTAGCGGTTATATAAGCGAGTTATGATTAAAGAACTCTAAGCGTGATATTACCCGCCCTTCCTTGTGGTCCCGGGGGAGTTTAGGACCTCTAGACTTAGGCAATTCTAGACAATCCTAAGGTGTTTAAAGGGCAAAAGTCTAGGCGACAACAAATAACACATAGGACTGTCAGTTAAGGAAGCAGATAAAAGGCTCATATTTTCCTCCACATATACATAGGCAAATAAGCAGCACGTCTCAAACAACCGATTTTAAAGAAATTCAGAAAGCCTAGGAACATGATATCTAGATGAACATTACAGAATAGAACATGTA